GTAGTGATCCACACCCACTCTCAAGCTGCTGTCATGGCCACCCTCCTTTTTCCAGGACAAGAGTTTAAAATTACACATCAGGAGATGATGAAAGGAATAAGGAAGTGTACCTCAGGAGGGTATTATCGAAACAGTGCTCTGTTGGTAGTGCCCATTATTGAGAATACACCTGAGGAGAAAGACCTCTAAAAACAAATGGCTTGTGCAATGGATGAGTACCCAGACTCCTGTGCGATGCTGCTCAGAGGACACGGGGAGAAACATGGCGGAAGGCTAAAACCAGGTGTGTAGGCTATGAGTATTTGTTTGATAATTGCTGTTTCAATGAAGATAGTGGGACTGAATCCTACACAGCTTCTGGTTGGAGAGAATGGAATTGTGTAAACCAGCGTGAAGCTTAATTATGTACAGAAAGCAAGACATATGTGAAGTTTAGTTATTTTTTATCAATTAAAAATTTCCTTGAAGCCAAAAAAAAAAAAAAGAAAGAAACTCAAAAGGGAAGAACATGTTCAGCATATCTCAAGCTGAAAGAACTGAAGAGAAAACTGCCAGGCTTGAGTTGCAATATTAGGAATCCTGTGTGCAAAATATTGAATGATGCAAGAAGCATCAACAGAAGATAGGACTATAGAGTCACTGTACCAAAGAGAATTGGTTGATGTTCAGCAAGTTCAGGTGGTAATATATGATTAAGAACTGATTGGAATGGGGAGAGTAGTCCAAGCGATACTGAAAGCAATCGTGAAAAGCGGGGCTCGAAGAATTGACAGGCTATCAATCGGAGATGTTTCAACAAACTGATGAAGCACTAGGAATCACTGGTTTATGGCAAGAACTATTCAGTACAGCCACCTTGCTAACCAACTGGAAGAGATCCATATTTGTGCACAGGCCAAAGAAAAGTGACCCAACAGAATGCAGCAGGTGTGTAACAAGATCATTAATATCACATGCAAGTGAAATTTTACTGATGATAATTTTTAAATGGTTGTGAAAGTACATTGACAGGAAGCCACCAGAAATTCAAACCAGTTTGCATTTCAGAATTTAGAACTGATCATGTAACAAAGGATATATCGTTGCTGGCATTACATGAATCTTGGCTGAAAGCAAAAGAACACCAGGAAGATATTTACTTGCATTAAACTGACTATGCAAAGGCATTTAACTGTGTGGATCATAACAAACAATGGATAACAATGCGAAGAATAGGGATTCCAGAATATTAATTATGCTCATACAGAACTTGACCAAGAGGCTGTAGTTTAAAAGCAGGAAAGGAGAGGTGCCAGAGTTGTATCCTTTCATTAGACTTATTCAGTCTGTATGCAGAGCAAATAATCTGGAAGCTGGACTATATGGAGAAGGACGGAGCATCAGGAATGCCGGAAGGCTCATTAGCAATCATGATATGCAGATAACATAATCTCCTTTACTGGAAGTCAAGAGGACTTGGAGCTACAACCTTCAATATAATTTACAACTCAAGTAAGTAAGACAAAAATCCCCACAATTGGACCAATAGACAATATCATAATAAATGGAGAAAAGATTGAAGTTGTCAAGGATTTCATTTTACTTGGATTGACATTAAATACTCAAGGAAGCAGTAGTCAAAAAATCAAATGTATTAACCCCATGTATTGCAGTGGGTAAATTTGCTGCAAAAGTGTTGAAGAGCAAAGACTTCACTTTGAGGACTAAGGTGCATCTGGCCCAAGGTCTTGTCAATGGCCTTATTTGCATGTGAAAGCCGGGCAATAAGTAAGGAAAACTGGAGGAGAAGTGATGCATTGAATTATGTTGTCAAAGAATATTGAAAGTACCTTGGACTTCTGGAATAACAAGCAAATCTGTCTTGAAAGAAATATATTTGGCGTGCTCCTTAAAAGTACAAACAGCCACTTGGTCTCACGTACTTTGGTATGTTATCAAGAGAAACCTGTCCCTGGAAAAGGACATCATGCTTGGTAGTGTCAGCAAAAAAGAGGAAGACCTTCCACAACATGGATTTAGGCAGTGACGGCAATGATGGCCTCACCCTTAATAATCATGTGAGGATGGTGCAGAACTGGGTAGTGTTTCCTTGTGTTGTACATGTGAGTCACTATGGGTCAGAGGCAACTGGACAGCACTGAACAACATTAAGAGGGCTTGAGAACCTTACCATTGTAGGATTGGGACAGAAACTCAATTGTGGCAGGCCAGGGATTGAGGAAAGGAGGTAGTGGACGGAAGTCCGTACTCCTCCTACACTGTGAAGAGCCATGAGAACCTGAGATTACAAGCAGAGAGAATAAAATGAGCACAAGTGTGGACGGAAACTAGAATTTTCTAAAATGTACTGTGCATTTAGATAGGAAGGAAAGAAGGAAAGGGGTAATTAGATTTGAGTCTACAACTATTACAGGAACCTGACCGTAAAAGGCTGAGCTTTATCATGGAGGCAAAGAGAAATTCTTAAGATGTTGAGTGTAGGAGTTAGGGAAACAAAAAACAGAAACAGTTAAGGTTGTAACTATCTCCTGCAGTTGAGTTCCAGGACACTGGGAGGAAAAGAGATGTAAGCAATCTAGCACTATAAACAGCTCAACAGCATTATGATCGGGACAACCTACTGTCTTTCCCCGCCATCCTTGTCCTCTGGTCACAAAGTAGCTGCTGCATTTCTAGGATGCATATTCTGTTTCCAGGCAGAAGGGGAAAGGGGAAATTACAAAATGCTTTCTCCTTATATTCCTTGACTTTTGTTCTAGAAAAGGCAGCCTTCCTCAGGAGCTTCTATCTGTATCTCACTGGCAGTTTGTCACATTGTTATCTAACTGCAAAGAAGGCTGAACCTCACCCGTTTTAATTTCAAGTCTTGACGCAGAGAAAAACAAAGGAAAGCGATTGGAATCAGGATTATCGGGCTACCCTGTGTGGGATTTGAGGTTTTAAGAAGGTATTTGTGATGGTACGGCAGTACCTCACCAGAAAATAACATCCAAAATAAAGAAACTTGGGTTGCTGCTCTAGCTCTTGCATTAATGAGCTCTGTAAATCACTTACTGCCTTGGACCGAAGTTCCACTTTGAAAATGATAGGATATGTAGGGACCATTCCCACTACCAAAGTTTGTGGTTCTGTCATAGCTTGAAGTTTGCTAAAAACTGATTTGCCCTTTTATAATCGCAAGCACTGGATTCGCAAAATAATTTACATTTGCTTCTAGGTAGGGTGATTCACTTTCATAAAAGATTCATTTCAAAGGAAGATGTTTTAGAAAAACAGGAGGAAAAGCCACAACTCCCCTGACAGCAAAATCAGGGTGCGGAGCGTTAAGACATGTCGATGATTTTCCCAGGAGAATTCTGCTCCTCCTCTATATCTGTTGGAATTACAAAGAAATGAAATCCACTCCAAATCTCATTTTCAGTCCAGTATCTTTAAATCATAGTTTCACTTCACTGGATTTTCCATATAACTGAACCTTCTCCTTTTAAAAACAAAACTTCTTCCTCCCACTTTTTACTATTTTTTCCTTGTGGAATCTTCCCCAAATATATGATGTGCTCTGCTGACTTCTTAAAAACAAGATAATGGATGTATTTTGCTTCCTGCTAACTCTGAGACAGTAGTGGACTCTTGGAGTCTTAGTTCTAGGGCTGCTATTACAAAAGTACCACAAACAGATTTCTTTCCTCACAGGTGTTAGGTGTCTAGAAGACCAAATTTGGGGCATCGTCCCAGGGAACGCTTTCTCCCTATGTCAGCTCTGGATGAAGGACTCACGTCTTTTTAACATCTGTGATTCTTGTGTTCCATGGAGCTGTATGTGTGCCTTAGCTGTACCCTCCCCCGGGTCTAGGAGGTCCTCCGCAGTCTCTGCTCCGGGCTCCTCTTCCTGGGTGGTAGTCATGTCCCATACTCTGCTCTCTTGTTCGGTCTCTTTTATATCTTAAAAAAGATTGTCTGAAGATTCCACTTAATCTTGTAGGTTGTATCCTGCCTCATTAATATAACTGCCTCTAGTCCTGTCTTATTAGCACCATAGAGATTAGGATTTACAATGCATATGATAATTATATCAGATCACAAAATGGAGGATAATTACATAATATGGAAAACCAAGGTGTCCTGGGGGGAGGGGGTAGAACAGGAGAAACACAATTTAATCTATAACAGAATCTAAAGGGGCTATGAAAAAAGCATTTGCTCGTTTTCAAAAGCGCCCCCAAACCTTTGTTCATTTTGTTTGTTTGCTGGATATACTAGTAATACATTTTTTTTCTCTCTACAATAAGCTTTCAAATAACTTTCAGAAGACTCTTTTTTTGCAGTGGGAAGTCTTAATACTCTAAGTCTTAATACTCTTATTCCCCGCTCCTGTTCCTGCCTTCTAACCTACTTTGGTCTGAGAAACCAGAAACCCAGAATACGTGTTAAAGATCATTGCAAATATTGGATGTGAGAATCATGCATACCTAGAAAAGCTGATGAATTTGGGGTCTCTATTTCTATTCCGTGGAGGCAACTCTGTCCAAGGGAGATGAAGTTGCCAGAAATCTGACCTTTGGATAAATTGAACAGCTGCCACATTTTCAAGCACAGACTATCTGGCCACAGAATATATACACAAGTGTTTTTAAAGGAGTTGGCGTGTTTGGGGAGGAGCACAATGGACAGATTAGAAAAGAATATTATACACTCAGCATTGCTGCAAGCACATCTGCTACTGCTCAAAGTTCCAGTCATTGTGACTACTTTGTGTGATCGAGCACGGCTCGTGTATTCTGATGACATAAATTCTCAAAGTCCACAAAAGGAGGGCCTGGGAAGAGGATAAAAGCAGGGTTACTACATTATAAGAAGGTACCTCAAAATCACATTTTTTAAATTTCTGTGAGGCCTACAGAATTGTTTCATGCTGCCTTATTTACTTTTATGACTACATTTTGTGCCCCCAAAATATAGGTGTCTAATTCACCATCAGTGTCTTCTTCTCACTCCATCAGCATGACTTTGTTCGACGAGATCGGCCACTGCGTGTCCTAATTGACCTCATACAAAGGACAAAAGATGCTGTTCGTGAGCTAGATAACCTGCAGTACCGGAAAATGAAAAAAATCCTTTTCCAAGAGGCACGAAATGGACCCTTGAATGAATCACAGGAAGATGAAGAAGTAGGTTCATTTTATTGCTGCGGGTTCTTGTAGAGTACCTACTGTGTGAAAAGAGCCTTGGGCTGAGCCCTTGGAAAGTACTCTTGAGCACAAAATGTATGTGATGAACTCTGCATTGAAAGACACAGAGGGTCACAGAGAAGACATTTGTAAAATAGCGCAAAAGATGAAAAGTGTCGGAGAGGTATATTGTAGTGCACAGGTCCATGGGGGGGAGGGGCAGAAAATAAATATGCTGGTGAGATTAATGAAGGTGCTGTGGAGAACATGGTGTGTTTGGGTTTTGGTGGCTATAAAGTAAAGTGGTGCTTTAGCAAGATTATCCTGGCTACAAAGTATAAGAAGGAGCTGAATGGGTGACATTCTAGATAATAATCCATATAGGAGACAATAGGGCCAGTTTTGATGGGAATGGGAAAAAAAGGACATTTTTAAGAAACATTGTACAGGTAGGTTTGACAATACATGAGCTTATTGAAAGGGGGTAACAGATGAGTTTAAGGTTAAGTGTGGGTCACTAGGAGCATGTCAACACCAAAGATAGAGAAGAACAGGAAAGATGGGCACACTTGGCGGGTGATTTCAGCTAGTAGCTATTGGGTTTACGGTCCTGCCATCATGTAGAAGAGACATAGTACATAGATGGACATTTTTTCTAAGGACAGACAACATCTTGGTTTCTTGAAAAATTAAAGAATGTCATTGTTTGGGGGCAAAGGTGATGATGGTTGGAATACCCAGATGGCAATGTCTAGCAGTTCGTTGAAAGAAACAAACCTAGAATATAGGACAGAGGTTTGGACAAAGGTATCTGACTGGGGGTCAAGAACATTATAATGAGAATTAGAAAATAATGATGGTGACAAATGTACAAATGTGCTTGACACAATGGATGGATGGATGGATTGTGATAAGAGTTGTATGAGCCCCCAATAAAATGATTTTTTTAATGAGAATTAAACAAGGGGTTAGATATAGACTGAGAAAAGGACCCACATTATATAAGAAAAGGGAGACTTAGGAGATAAAGATATCACAGATTTTGAGAAAATACACAACTTTAAGGAGAAAGCAGCCAATATGTGATGAGAGGTCAAGTCAGATAGGGTAAAACACACACACACAACATTAACTACGTTTTATAATTAAAACATCCTTGATAACCTTAGTGAATGCAGTGTTACAGTGATAGGATAAATAGTTGATTACTGTGGTTTGTGGAATAAGTAGGAGGTGAGAAAGCAGAGACAGAAAAAGTTGGTTGTTTTAAGATTCAGACATTTAAGAAGGAAAAGTGAGAGAGGGCTGTGTGGTAGAGAGGTACCTAAATATGGGGCTGACTTCTTCAACTTATAGGCAGAGGGGAAGGAGCCGCCCAGAGGTATTGATGAAAGAGAAAAGATGTAATTAAAGAAATAGAACCTCAGGTGGTAGGTAGGTTGGGGACAGGAGCACAAGTGCAGGAATTCGCTTGAACAAAAGAAAGCACTCAGCTTCCTCTAAAACTAGATAAGGAGGAGGAAAGAAAGAAGAATGACTTTTTAAAATGTAAAACAACGTGACAAGGTGTGTATCACTAATTATAAAAGTGAAATTCAGAAAACAGAATTGAACTATAAAATTCTTGATTACATGTATATAAATGAGTCTCTTTAATTGGGAAAATCTATCTATTTTTAAAGTAGTTTCTTTTCTACAACCTTGAAAATTATCTATACTAGTGATTCTTTTCATTGCCGTGGCTAAGTAACAATTCATTAAAGTTTTAGATATACATTCACACATATACATATATTTAACTTTTAAAAAGCTCACTGCCATTGAATCAATTACAACTCATATCCGTGGGGGTGTGTACACACATGCCTACAGACATATAAGGAGCCCTTTTGGTGCTGTGGATTAGGTATTGGGGTTCTATTGGGGTGCTAACAGTAGGATCAGCAATTCAAGCCTACGAGCTACTCCATGGGAAAAAGATAAGACTGTCTGCTCCATAAAGATTTATAGTCTTGGCCACCCTAAGGTCATTATGAGTCAGAATAGACTTGATGACAGTGGGCATGGATAGATAGACAGACAGACAGACAGACAGACAGATAGATAGGCATGCATAGATAGATAGATAGAAAGATAGATAGGCAGGGAGGCAGGGAGGCAGGCAGACAAGACAGGCAGCTATCCAGGCAGACAAGCATACACATATGCAAAGCAGCATACATACATACATACATACATACATACATACATAGGCAGTCGCGAGTTAAGAATATCCCACTTATGTACCATCCATAGTTATGAGCCAGCCCTCATAAAGTCTATTATATTAAAATTTAAATGTTTGAGGTACATGCAGTAGTTTGCAATAAATGGGTGCTACTTTGCTACCCACATCAAGACTTTATTATTATTATTATTATTATTACTGAATTGTTACATTAAAGATGTCTTAGTATACCTAGCATTGTTTTCTTCAATATAAAAAGGGTTTTTTGTGGCTTTAATATGGATAGAAAAGTATACTATGTATTAAACTAGCACTTGACTGACTTAGACATGAAAGGTAATTAACTATTCCAATTTATGTACAAATTTGATTTTAAGATAGACTTAGGGACAAACGTTGTTTGTAATGGGAACTGGGGGTTCTGCCTATGTATATATACACAAATGCATAGTGTGGTCCTTTGAAAATAGAGATGTTTCTTTAATTGCATTATTTAATCTAACATCAAAAGATCCCACTGTGATGGATAAATTATATGTTCTGATAATATTTTACCACTTCTCAAATAGTAGTCTTAGAACTAGTAATATGAATACCAGTATTATTTAACAGATATATTTAATAAGATTACACAGGTAAGCATGATGGAATTGCTTGAGGGAGGCAGAATTTAATTACCTGTTCAGGACAGCAGAATTAATATCCCTGCTTAGATATGAAGTTACTCGATAGTAGCTTGCAGAGGAGCATGCTGCTAGTCAAATCCCCAAAAACTCTTCCCTCGACTTGAGTTCCAAGCCTAGTTTTGCAGATATCCTCGAGCGGCCGGCCAGCAGGCTGTCTGTAGCACCTTGATAGTCCCTTACAGCCCTCTGCCTACAGAGTAGCAAGATGATAATATGATCATTGTGTATGAAAGGGGAAAGCCCAGGGACAGACGCATTTGGAGCCTTATGACCCATGTCCAGAATGGCCCCTGGGGAAGGCAGAGAAGTGAATTTGAAATGTCTGAAAATAGTGGGGGAGTAGTGGAGCCACTACATAAAAAGTTTATCTTTGCAGATTTGGCAGAAAAGCAACTTGGCACTGCAGAATTGAGTGTGCTTAATAGCTTAGTCAATGGATTGGCACTTTATCTCCAGTCATTTTTTTTAACCCCAGTGCCCCATTTTTATAGGACAGCGAACATGGAACCAGCCTGAGCAGGGAAGTGGACAGCCTGGGCAGCAACCACTCCATCCCAAGCATGTCTGTGAGCACAGGCAGCCAGAGCAGCAGTGTGAATAGCATGCAGGAGGTCATGGACGAGAGCAGCTCTGAGCTGGTCCTGATGCAGGAGGACGAAAGCACGATAAGTTCCAGTTCCTCCATTGTGCATAAGAAGGTAGGTTTCAGGGGACCCTTCACAGCTCTCAGCATCTCCAGTCCTGGTGAAGTCAGCTCTGGCCACTTAGCATCCAGCTTTCTTGTTACTTTCTGTGACTGAAATGTGAGGCTACACCTAGCCCTTGATAGTTCTCTGACAGTCAAAATGCAGAATGGGGTAGATGGTCTCTTGGCCTATTTCTTTATCTTCCTTTCTCATTATTCTGATTTCCACTTTCAGTCAGTAAATTATAAAAAACAAAAAAAACAACTACAAATCTTCAAGTCAAAGAAACCAGTACACCCTTTTCCAAACCAACCATTTGGTTTGGAAACCAACATATTAATTCATACTAATTAGTTCATGCAAATAAAATAGTGCCTGTGCCTCTCTACAGCAGGAGTTTGATTTTAATTCCAGTGAGAAAGCATGGTGTCAAACTTGTCTTCACTTATACTTCTGTTGGTTGTGCTTGCTTCTTGGAAGGAAGGGGAGATTGAATAGGTAAGGATTGGAAGGCAGGAGAAAACATACTGGTGTCTGTGGAAGGGCACAGTTTTGTTTTCTGGGACCAAGTAACCCATTCATTTGTTTAATGAATTTTAGTGGGGGGCTTCTCCTATATGATAGGCACTGTGGTAGGCCTTAGAGGCACAGAGGGTCTAAAACAGACACAATTCTTTCATCAAGTTTATTATCTATGGTAGAGATTAAGCAAATAATCACACTAATCACTATATAATGTAATTATGAAATTTGCTCTGGCTCAAAGGAAAACTTAATCTTGGAAGAAGTAATGAAAAGCCTGTTTGGTGCAGTAACATCTACGCAAAAACTTCAAAGACAAATAAAAAGTTAACTAGCTGGGGATGATAGTAGGGGTCAATGCCAAGGCTGTGAGGCAAATGAAGCCCTGTATCTTTAAGGAAGAGTAGGTAAGGCAAGAGAGTTAAAACTTGGTAGAACATGTGGAGAATGCATCAAGGTTAGAGAGCCAGCAAGGGCCCCGATAAATTGGAAGTCAGGACAGCATTTTGCAGAAAGTTGCAATATCAGACATATGAAATTCTGGGTTCTGCTCTTTGGATACAGGCAGGTGATCACACATTTGAAGGGTAGAAGGTAAGGCTTTCTGGGACCTCATTTTCGGGGAGCTCTCTTGGGTGCTGACAGAACTGGCTCGCTCCCTCTGGGAGGCCATTGGTAGAGGAAGCGAAAGAAGAAGAATCCAGTTGCACCTTTTACTCCAGGGTCTCCCAAGGGGATGCACACTTAGAAGGAAGGTACCACTGGCATAGTCACCCAAGCAGAACCCTGAGCTACAACTCATTGCGCGGTGGGATTGGAATTTTTACTTTCTGGTGTCACGCTGCCTTGTTGTGATAATATGGGTTTATCAATGCTTTTTCCTCCCTGATGTAATCACTTATGGAGAATAAATGTTCGTTTTTATTAGATGTTATTGTGCTCCACAAACCCACTGCCATCAAGTCGATTCTAACTCATAGAGACCCTATAGGGTTTCGGTGCTTGTAAATCTTCATCAGAAAAGATGGCTTCATCTTTCACAATGTATTCCATAGATATTAATTTCTATGACAAAAGATATATGTACATTACACATTAACATTATTTTGTTATTATATTATATATAATATAATGTAGATTAGTAGATGTTAATATATATGGTAACTGGATTTGATCAACAGAAATGCTTATGGGGAAAATTTAAATTCTATAACGTAGTTTATTGTAAGCTGTGTGTGGTTGTTGTAGTTGAGACAATTCAGACTCACGGCAGCACCATGTGTACAAAGTAGAACTTCTCCAGAGGATTTTCAAGCTTGTGACTTTGTACAAGCAGTTCACAAGGCTTTACTTCTGAGGCACCTCTGGGCGGCTTCGAACTACCAACTTTTTAGTTAGTAATCAAGCACTTAATCATTCCATCACCCAGGGACTCCTTGGTGAAATATGTCAGTGAAATTTAGTGGAAGGGAACTGAAAAACATTTGCAAATAAAATCTCAAGTGAGTTCTCTTCAAATTGCAAATAGGCTGAAAAATAGATTACATTATCTACAAAAACTTAATGTTAAAGCTGGTATCTCTTCATGAAACCCCTTCACTCACTATTCCTGAACTTTAAAATGTACCATCTTAGAAAACAACAGAAATTTAAAATTTTTCAGGAAGTTTTTTATTTGTTGATTTATGTGAATTCCCTGAAACTTTTTCACTTGGAATATACATGAAATATAATTTTATACTCTCACTAGAGACTGACATACAGGAATGAGTACACTGCATTGCTGTTCTGTTTGTCATTGTTTTGTTTTTTTGTTTGGCTTTTTTGTGCTACATTTGTGGGCTTTGGTTTCTACATCTATAAAATTAGAATTTTTTTCGGCATGCTTTCAGAGTTGATTCTGAAGCATCTATCTCTGTAATCTTTAAAGAAGCAAATGTCTAGCATGGTGACTCAGGAGCATGCTTCCCCTACGTTACAGTTTATATTAACTATTCAGATCCCACTTAAGATCTCACTGGATAAAGAAAATGTTCTACTAGAATGTTTGAAAGTCACAGTCTCATCAGCCTCTTCTCTTCATGCAGACGAGATGACACTGAAGAATAGGTATTGGTAGTGTTGTCGGCTAGGCTCTACAGGAAGCAGAGTTGAGACACTTTAGTCACTGCCATTGAGTCCAATAGAAAGCCCCAGCTTTCTCCTAAGGAGCAGCGGTGGTTTCAAACCGCTGACCTTGCATTTAGCAGCCCAATACATAACCCCCGCATCGCCAGGGGTCCTGAGACACTTTAGGGCAGTAGAACATTCACTTGTAGGTAATGCCCAGATTAACACATATGATGATGAACCACATTTACAACGTTATTTTTTTAATCAATATAAAATTTATCTGATCAGTTGTATGTACCACATACAAAGTGTCAGCACATAATTTTCTGACATTATCACTCTCAAATGTAATGTTCCACCACCCAATGACAAATAATATCCAGTTTATAAAGATGCTGATAATAAAAGGCAGTAATAATGCAAACAAAATTTTAATGAGGTGTTTAACTTACATCAAAAATGATTTGCAATGGAGTAGTCATCAGACCATACCTGCATTGCAAGTGCTGGAATACCTATATTCTTAAATTCCTACGAGGTCAATTCTTGTGAATGAGAGGCGTAGCGTAGAAAGCAGCATTGGGCAGAGTGCAAAAGTGACCTGGGATGCAGACTCCAGGGTAGGCTCAGTTGACTCCACAGGGAACTCTGGTGCTAAAATAGCTCTTCAGAATTATCCCACATTGGGCAGGGCCTTAATAACCCAACCAAGATAAGTCATTGAATCTGGGAAAGCCCTGAAGGGGGTGAGCTTGAGCAAGCCTGCTCTCTGCCACTCAGGCAATCCCTGAAGGAGCCCATAGCAAAGACAACTGCTTGTAACTCTGCTGAGGCAGAGTCCTGCCCTAAAGGGACTTCTGGATAGTAGTACATTTCCAAGTCTATGATTATTTGCAACTAAACACAAACCAAAAAAAAAAAAGCACAATAGTTAAGCATTCAGTTGCTAATCAAAAGGGCGGCAGTTCAGACCCACCCAGAAGCTCTGTGGGAGAAAGGTCTCACAATCTGCTTCCATAAAGATAACAGGCAAGAAAACCCTCTGGCACTTCTACTTTGTCACCTGGGGTACTAGGAGTTGGAATCCACTTGACCGCACCCAATGGCAACAACTAAGAATATCATAGTAGTCAATAAAGTTTCAGGAAACATTTACCTATTTTGTGTCCAGAATCTTAGAAAAGTCTATACATCCTATTATCATATTATAAATACTAGTCTATCCATGATCTCATCATTATCCTATTTTATTTTTAGACAATTATATAGTTATTATTTCCCCACTAGAATTTAAGTTCAAATTTGTTCAGCACTATGTCCCCAATCCTTAAAGCAGTGCCTGGGTACAGGGTAGGCACTCCGTACATTAATCAAGAATGAATGAATGAACAAGCGACAAAACCATAGGGAATAATTAGGTACCAAATATTAAACATCACACTATTCAGCTTCATTGCACATAATGGATCGAAAGGGGTTAAATAATCTGAAATGTTTCTTTATGGTGTGAAAGAGTTAACAGAATAGAATTCCTGTAATGAAAATACCCAAGACAGTAAGAGCATGCTTGATAAATACGAAAATGTAAAATAAGAGTTTTTGTCCTTCTTGATTGTTACAATCAAGCAGACATTTCCTAAATTAGCCAAATCATGGATCTGAAACAGAGTACCATTTTATATAGGAAGTCAGTTCACTTTTAAAGGCCACATATAACTAGCGTGAGAGCTCGACTCACACACAATTAACTGCTCTGCACCCGCAATAAAGATGCCCGGATTTTAGCAGCACAGTTCTGCTGTCACAGATCAAGTCCCCCAAATGTAAGGTGACACTCTGAAAAATTTCGTCTAACATCATCATTTGGGTTTCTTCCCTCTCTCCAGTCCTGGCCTCTCTTCTAGTCTTTCCCAGGCCCTGCAGGGACCCTAATCTAATCTTCCTTTGAGCAGGAATGCTTCGATAAATGTGAAGGCATATTCTGACAAAATAAACTTCAGCCAGCTCTTTCTTTTCCTCCTGCTCGTGGAGTCACACACACAGCTTTTCCCACTAAGTGAAACTTCATTGCTTTTCTCTAGACGCAGCTTCTCACCTGCTCCTTAGCCCCACATCCGCCTGAGGTAAACACCTTAAAGCTGTGCTGAACTAAGGTGAAGGTGGACTTTCATAGGACACAACATACACAACCGTTCTTGATTATTCACAAGTGACTCGAAGGCGAACTTTGAAAAAGGACTGGTTTCTATTTGCTGTGCTGTGGATAGCGTACACCAATCCAACCATCTCTACATGTCCACCTTTCAGTGACATGCGTGACAGGCTTCAACCATTGTCATTTTCCTTTTCCAAACTGTTCCTTCCCCATCATTGCACATTCACTGCTCCCAAACTTCCCTGTCGTATCCGTGAGCGGCTGCTGTTAGTTTGAAGGGCACCGTGCTCAAGGCAGGCGTTCTTCCCTAGAGACGCTGGATTACTGTTTGAAGGAGACTTCAGGGGATATCTGTGGTTGAAGGTTTAAAGATTCTTTCAGGATGGTGCTTTTAGGAGTTCATCCAGCCTCCATGACTCCAGAAAATCTGGGTTCCATGATGTTTGAAAGTCTGTTTTATATTTTCTCTCCAGGGCCAACTTTGAATCCAGATTAGCTTCTTCTTCTTCTTTTTTTTTTTTTAAGCTGCTATCTAGACAGCTTCTGGGTTTCCACCATATTCCTTTAAAATGATTGAGCATATAGTAGTAACAAACAGATTTTAATGTTGGCTTAAGCAACAAAGTATGTGTGTATGTGTTTTAATTAAAAGGTCTACTTTTTTATCTTGACAAAGTCTAAAATTATCTTTGTCTAATGCTATCTTCTGTTATTATAGATCATAAGGGTGTACTACATTAAAGGTCTTGTTTTTTAAACAATTTATGTGTTTAGATATACCTTAATATACTGCAGTCATCGTGGCCTCTTAAAATATACTGTCTTTAAAAATAACACTCTTCCAGCTCCAGCTCTCCTTGCTGTAGTCCCAGCTCGTGCTGTGAGAGCTACACCTCATTTAATAATGTAGAAACAAGCGAAACTGAAGAGAGGGCTGGGGGGTTGCTGATCCCTCTTCCATACCATGAAAAGTGGGAGAATTTATGGAAAGGTTTCTCATCACCATCATAAAGTCCTAATTAAAAAAAAAAAAGAGGCCATTTAGCTAAGGTTCCCCCACTAATACTACCACCACTAGGTGAAGATATGCTTGTGTGTATAACATGATTTTAGGTCACTCTATAAGGTGACCAGATATTAATATTGGTACAACGGGACACCATTGATAAAACTCATCCTGGCGAAATAGCCACATGGCAGCTGAAAACCGTATACCCTAGCTTGTTGTGCATTCTTTCCAAAAATCGGGACTTTTTAAAAACACTGTGGGACGCAGAACAAATTGTTAAAAATCGGGACTGTCCTGCCAAAAGCAGGACATCTGGTCACCTTACTCTAAGAGTATAGAGTAGCAGGTTTTTCCTCAAATACACATTTGAATTCTGTTAAATAACCCAAGAGAAAACATCATTTTCTCAAAATCTCCTCAGCCCTATATTCTTGAGCTTATTTATTCAGCAAACATTTGCTGAATGCCTACTAAGTATCGAGCACTAAGTCTAGGTGGAAAGGAGACTGAGATTTTTCAGCCTACATTTGCTCCACCATAAGAAAGCCCACATTCTCATTCAGAGACTGACGGGTGTGTTTGACCATGAATACTGTGATAAAGGTAGACCCCAAACACACTGGAACCTAGAGTAGTGTCTTTCAGGTCACTAGACAATTGAGTGCACCGGGGATCTGCATTTCAGAAGCCTAAACAGGCAGACACTGAAGGAAATGTTTCCAAATTAAAGTAAAACCCCCTGTCTCAGGGTACCATAGTAAAGTCAGGGTACCATAGTAAAGTCGTGTATGCCTAGTACTTTGCATATTTCACTAGACCGCATGAAGTTCCTTCTCTTTACTAACGCTTTGAGCATTATTTTGTCTTGATTTCATTTTAATCTAAAGAAATTTAATTTCTTACAACAAAAGAGCATTGTAAATTACCAAGTTAACACAGACTTACTTAAAATGGGCCCCCAATCATACTGATATTCCAAGAAGTTCTTTTCCTTTTTGCTGGCTGATAATGTCAAAAGATATATTATAAGCACATTATATATTTTGGCTTGGTAAGGTAGAACATGAGACTGGTTCTTAAGCTTCTAAAATCATCCTTTCAAGAAGATCTGGGCCTTAATATTACCATTTGTAAATAATTACTAGTTATCTGTATAAATAGAAAAACAACCCTTTTTGTTATTAATCTGTGTGCTATTCAGAAGCTTTGGGGGCTAAATATCAGGGTCATTTTCAAAGGAACTGCTGCTTGAAAAGCTAATATAACTAACCAACTACATACCCCCTCTATCTGATGCTTTCATATATTTGTGCTTGCTGCTGCTTTTTTAAAATCATTTTACTGGGGCTCATACAGCTCTTAACACAATACATACATACATCCACTGTGTCAAGCACATTTGTACATTTGTTGCCATCATCATTTTCAAAACATTTTCTTTCTACTTGAGCCCTTGATATCAGCTCCTCATTTTTCTCCCTCTCTCCACCACCCTCTCTTCCTCACGAACCGTTGATAATTTGTAAATTTTTTTTTTCATGTCTTACACTGACCAATGCCTCCCTTCACCCACTTTTCTGTTGTCTGTCCCCCTGGGAGGGGGTTATATGTAGTTCATTGTGATCAGTTCCTCCTCTCTCTTCCCACCTTCCCCTTACCCTGCTGGTATCGCTCCTCTCCGTATTGGTCCTGAGGGGTTTATCTGTCCTGGATTCCCTGTGTTTATGGACTTGCTTCTTAAGTCACATTACCCCATTTTTAAACTGTTGGATTGTTTAAATCGCCTTCCAAGTTTTTAACCAATTTTATACAAACATTTATACATACATTTCCTAATGTACATGGATATCCATTGTTAGACTAAATTTGCCCCATTTTGTGATAACTTGAAAATATTTAAAGACTATTAATGTTGGTGATCTCTGTTATGAAGCTGCTCTGGAAAACTGCAGATTCTTTTATAAAAGGAAGAAAGCGACTTTAGGGGGAAGCAAAGCGGTGTATTATTTGGTGTGCTTACTATATTTAAAGTAGGTTTACTTATATTAGAAGTTGATTTAAATGTTCAATCTATTGTCCAGGCTAACATCTAAGCTACCTTTACTTCCAAACTAGATCTTAGTTGGTTTCTTAATGAAATTTAGAGTTTCAGCTTTTCCAATTCACCTCTTTATTTCTGAATTTAGGAATCTTGGAAAAGATCCCACGTAACCACTACATCAAGTTGGTTCTCACTCACAGGCGCCCTGTGTAGAGTCTTTTCCGGTGGTTTTGAATCTTTACACAGGCGGACACCCTTATCTTTCTCCAGAGCTCTCTTTACCTGTGAAATAATAGTTCAGAATTATCAGGAAATTATGTACAAATTTTTTTGACCCTTTGAAACATTTTTTATAAGTTCCAAAACATGGGTTAGGGAATACCTCTCTATCCACACCACGGTCTAAAAGAACTTTCTGCCTTGATTAAAAAATGTTCTATAGTGGACTGTCCAGTATGGTAACTATGGGTTCTTAAAATCTTATTTCATTTTAATTTGAAGATCTGCATGTGACTAGTGGCTACCTTATTTATTGTAGCAAGTGTGTTTTGATCCTTTAATTATGTTCAAAGTAAACACAGTAAATATACATTCATTTTATTATGTATTTATTTATTTAATCTATTTATTAAAAATACAAAATACACTAAATGGGGGCGGGGTGATCTCTAACAGAAATGTAATGGTAGCTGTCTTTGGAATAGATTGAAGTATTCTACACGTAGAAGTGGAAAATAAAATAAGCCCAGTGGAAAATTTAACCTTGGTTCTTGGCTTTTACAAAAATAAATAATTTAATAAAACTGGATGTAAAATTTTATTTCCCTCATGGAATAAATATTTTTGACTTTTCAAAAATTTAGACAGTACTAACATTTTCTATTTTTATATCTCCAAGTCTTATTTTCTGATGAGGAGCAATTATAAAACATTTTCAAATAGTCATGGGGAAAAAAAAATGCCAAACTGACTTCCCACAAATGGTTTCTCCTAAAACCCTAGGGTGTTAAGGATTATTTTTTCTTTCCCCTCTTGAACTTGTACTATTCAAAAATCCCCCCATGGTTGTATGTATTTTTGAGCTATTAACAGTTTTACTATCTGTTTTTCTGAAGGGTTAGAGCTACTCAGTGACTGACCACTCCATCTTTTATAGAAGGGAACCTCCTCCTTTGAAAGCATTTTTCCCCTTTAAAAGTCATTTCAATTGCATTTAAGGAACATCCATTATAATCCTTTCAGGGAATGTTCTTTTTTTCACTGGGTTTTACAATAAGATTAATCATCTTTGCCTATCAAAAACCGTAGCCTTAATTAAATCAATGAAGGACATTAAATCCCATCTTTACTCACTCTGATGACCATATCTCTGCTGAGTTGAGGAAGAATTTGTGAAAGTACCATTTGGTTAAAATTGTACGCCTGTCCCTTTAAATCTGAAAAAAAATCCTTTCTGAAGCTGTAGAGAGAAGGTGCTAGAACTGTGTACGATCATGACTGGAAAGCAGGATCCCTCAGTGACTGCTGAATCTTCCCAGCACAAGATAGAGAGGCAGTTCAGCACAAGCCTCCACTGGTTCTAGGCAGAACGATGATCCTACCGAACAGAGCTCAAATAAAATTAAATTGAGAAAGCAGATCTTTCAAGGGAATGAGGCGGAGGCTCGCTTTTATGTTAAAAGCAACCAGCATCCTCCTTGCTAGACATGGACATGACATTTTTAAAGGAATTATTTGGTTACAGCGTTTTAAACAAACTGTTCTAAGGAGTCTGTACATTGCATTGTTTTTTCTATTCTTTTTTTCTTTTGCATATATGTAATTCTGGAGGTAAAGAAAAAGCCTGCCAGGGATTCAGAAGGCATCCCACTAGCGATCAGCTGACATTCCTAACTGAAGGCTGCAATGTGTTGCTTATTCATTTTGTACCGTGGGAGCTGCGGGGACTAGCAGAGAGCTAAACTATGCATTTCAAACAGCAGTGCTTGTGCAGAAAGAGGGGTGAGAGAGAGGCAGCCGGCGAGGAAAGAGCACAGCTGGACTTTCTCCTTGTTTTTATCCATTTCTGCAGGATCATGTATTCATAAGGGATGAGGCGGGCCACGGCGATCCCAGGCCTGAGCCGCGGCCTACCCAGTCAGTTCAGAGCCAGGCCCTCCACTACCGGAACCGAGAGCGCTTTGCCACGATCAAATCAGCATCTTTGGTAAGCAAACACCCCTCTACCCATCTTCCCTTCCTTCCCCTCCTCCCCATCTGGCAGCCTCTCGCCCTCCCTGAGCCTCTCTCGGCTTCATGGATGGGAGGAAAGGAGTCAAGAATGTTTTCTCCCTCCTAATAATTTTATTCATTTTAGAAAAAATCTGTTGGCATAGCAACCAGATCTCAGATATTTTAGCATTGTCTATAGCATGAAAAAAAAAAAAACCTTTGTTGTGTGTGTGTGTGTGTGTATTTGTATATGCTGCATGTGCAAAATAAAAGGCCTTTGAGATGAAGTTGCTAGCATATCCAATTTTATAAAAGCTATTTGTTTATCTTTTCATTAAAATAAATAATGTTAAATTTTTTAGAAGATAATGATCTATGTGTGTGTGTGTTTGTATAGATGCATGTGTGTGTATAATGTATACATACACATCAAAAGATAAAACATCATTTTCTTTAAAATATATGCTTGTGGCTAATGTATGTAATTGTAGAAAATAAGATAGTTGCTTCCCAGGGATGGATTGCTGGTTTGTTCTGCTTCATTCATTTATTTATTGCAACAATGGTAGTGGCTGCACTTCCCCATTTAACCCCTGAAGAATTCCCTGGCACCGATAAAGCACGAAGGGCTTTGTGGGAGAGATCAGGGTGGTTGTAGAAGGAAAGGGACTGTCGGATTCTTCAGCATTTTCACTATTGCAAATGTGATTGCTGGATGCCCTTGTAGTAGCAAAAGGGGTGTGTGCTGGAAGAGTTAGTTTTCATGCCTCCTCCCCTCGGCCCCCCACGCGTGCGCGTGCGCGCTCCCACACTTACACACACACACACACACCATTCCATCCTTCATACTCAAAACTCTCTTTTATCGTTGCTTCTGAATCTTGCTTCTTAGCATAAAAATAATATTGAAATATTAGTTGCTTTGCCTAAATTGATGTTAGAGGTCACATGGGCAGGAAGAGTTAGTGTACACTGCTCGGCTATTACATTTAGAACCGATGATGACATCATCCGAGGCCAACCCAGAAATGATCGCTTTTCTTGTCCTATTTTTTAAACCTTATTTCTACACTCATTTCTCAAGTCTTTTAATAGCTTTGATTATCTCTGAAATGGAATGTGGATTCTCATCTTAAAAATCCCAAATGCAGGAAAAAATGGAAGTTACAGTACAACATGCTGCTATGTCTGCTGCTGTTTAAAAGCAAGCAATTTAATGTAGACTGCTTATAAATAAGCCCATATTTAAGTACCTTTATAGAGAAGTTTCTTGTCATCTCCTTTAATAAGCAATCTTTTATTTTTAAGGAACGATAGCCTGTGTAATGGAGATCTTAAAATGTCCACTATGTATTTGCAAATGATTGTTAGGCACAAAAAAAAAAAAAAAAAACAGCTCTGGAGACTAAATAAAGCAGCATGGAATTACGAAATAACAAGCATGTTCATGCTATGATATCTGACAATAAGAAGAAATGTTGTATTTCAAGAAACTATTATTACTTACCACAGACTCTTGTGAGACTTGTACCTAAACCCTAACTGTTCTTGGTGCAATGTGAGGAGGGATCATGAGAACCCAGCACCGGGTGCAGGTTTTGCTTATGAAGCAGACGTGAGACCAAGTCCATTTCCTCCCTCTGGGTCAGGCTCTCTTCTTTTCTCACCTGCCACGCCCTCATTCCCACATCTCAAATCCATGACCTCTCCTGCCTCCAAGGAAGATTACTCCCGCCAGGCCCAGATGCTCCCACGCAGCCGCCACTGCCTTCCCCTCCGTGTGAGATGGAAGTGGCTTCCCTGCTAGGGCTGTGGGCAGAGTCTGGGCTCTGGTGAAGTGGTGATCAGCCAAAGGGCCTGGACCCCCATGTTATGTCAAAAACAGAGTAGCCGATAGGCTGTTGCTTTAGCCCTAAAATGAGTGGTTTTACGTGGGGCACTTTGTCCAGATGTAACACTTCAGGTGTCATGGTGGGATTGATGGAAGTTTATCCAAGTTCAATAGTCTTTGTCTCTAGTGGTTGTCAGGGAAGGAAAAAAAAAAATATTGGAAATGTAAAAAGGGCTTATCCTGTGTAATTCTATGTCCCGTTTTGGATAATTTATTGGTCTGGTTATTTAAATGTGTATTATCAAGTACTATAGTGTTAGGAGCCATTGGAATCGCTTGATGGCGGTGGGGTTTTGTTTTTGTCTTTTTCAATGGTATTTTAAAGGCTAATTCTGATAGGAATCTTATAGTAAGAATACTGGAATATCATAAGGAACCACTTACTTTTAGAAATGTATTCTGAATCCTGTTATTCTACAGATCCCAATCCAAATGAGAGGGCTAAAATTACTTTAATGACAAAAATAAAGGCAAGACCATGGGGAAAAGAAAGTCCAGAGTACTGAATAATGAAGTAATTGTTGAAACCTGCTTTCACATCTCAGCCTCCAATACTAACTTGATTAATTCATTCATTCATTCATTTGGTTTCATTCTTTCCTTAGAGATTTTTAACAGAGATGTTAACCAACCAAACCAAATCTTTCCATCCAGTCAATTCCGACTCAGAGCGACTCTGTAGAACAGAACAGAACCGCCCCATAGGGTCTCCAAGGCTAGAGAGCTTTATGGAAGCAAATTGCCTCATTTTTCTCCCTCCCAGCAGGTAGAGGGTTTGAACCACTGACCTTTCAGTTACCAGCCCAACATTTAACCTACTGTGCCACCAGGGCTCCTTAACACATCAGAGAGCCATCCGAAAGGACAAGGAGGCATTTAGAAACCAGTTTTTAATTGTCGGATAAATAAGTGAGGAATACATATCTTAAGCAGATGTGCGTGCTGGTGGGAAAGCTTAGGAACTTCAGAACTGTGTGATGAGCCTACATCTTCAACATCAGGCTTCCAGAGGCCCAGCTCTGTGGTCTTCCCTCTGCATAGGTCTCTAGTGTGCTTTTGCGTGAGTGCTGACAAGAGTGGTCAGCAGGCTTTTACTGCTGGATGTTTTTATGACTTTGGCAGCTTGAAAGTGAAATTTGTTACATGATTTTGCACTGCTGCACAGTGGCATTTGCAACCAAGGGAAGGGAAGGACTAAATGCCTTCATGCCAGCGGACACTCCGTGGAGACTTTAGAACTTCATTTCCCTTAATGATAATTTTTTAAGGACAGAGATTATTGACCTTATTTTAAGGAGCTAGGAAAAGGAAAGGTATTTCATGGAATCGTTTTTTTTTTTTATTTACTTTTACTCTTTTTCTTTTTTCTTGAAAAGAGTTCACCATAGTTAGTTATCTGAGGAAAAGAGAATTGCTTGTAGTGTTTGACTTCTTGAGTTTTGACCTGGGCCACCTTTGGGTTTTTTTTATTGCTAGTGAACGGAGAGCCTAGTGTTTTAATGAGACAAGTGACCCATGAAAGTGTTTCAGCTCTGACTACATTTGGTGTCATGCCTTCCTAAAATTTCATAAGGTCTTGGGTCTCGAGACCCAGTTTCCATAGTAGAAGTTAACGTGAAGAGCACCCGAGGCCCTCCGTACAGGCAGCTCAGCCAGTGGGTCGCTGAAGGAATTCCCTCTGGAAGGCAGTGGTTTGGGCACACAGGTGACTGTGGGCTAGAACACACATTCGAGGAGAAACTTCTCCCAGCGTCATCCAGGGGGGAAGGAATCATAACTGTGGCTTATACGTGACTTTACCAGTAGAAAAACGCATGTAAAAAGGGACTCTTTATTTGGAGGTTTAAAAATACAACCTACTTATTCAGCTCATTGTGAAATTGGAAGCTAAATGAGTTTGAGAGGGAGAGTAAACATACTTGCGCCTGACGGGTACCTGCTCCTGCCTCTCTTGCAGCCCCTGTCCTTCCGACTCTAAATGCTTGAAACGGCCTTCTTTTCCTGCAGGGCGTCCCAGAGGGTACTTCTCAGAACTTCACTTCTCACCTCTCGCTCTTGCCGTCTTCATCTCACTAAAGTCACTGCTGATGCCCTCTACATTGGTGCGCCCATCCCCATGCCCGGCCCGCACAACCTAAGCCCCTCAATGAACATGTGCGGGCTGCATGGCTGAGCGGATTCGGTTTCCTTAGCCTGTTAGCACACAAGGGTTTCACACAAGGATTTGAATGCCTCTGTGTACACATCCAGGTTCTCATTGTGACATTTTTGGTCACCAAGCGAAACTACCTCCTAGCCATCCTTCCTTTCAGTACAGACCTCGAATGGCCCCCACCCCCACCTTCCAGGTGTCCCGAAGAGTGGACTGTCAACCTGCTAATGCCCAAAAGTGACTCATTGTATTCTTTGTAAGAACCTATGAGTTTCATTTGCTCTAAGTGCTGAGTGACCAGTTGTTTCATATGCATTCTTTTGATTCTTCCACATACTTTATCTGTGAGTTGGCTTTGATCTCTTCAGAAGGTAATAGCACCCTTTTCCTGCTTCATGTTCCGTGAGGTGCTTATTTGACTTCCTGGTCTGGTACTTTGTAGGCCCCACAATATACTCTGGATGAACTGTGCCCAATTTTGCTGGAATCAAACTGGGTGGTGTGAACTGCTGTAGAAAGCTTCTGGGGCTGGGATGGAGTGGTGGTGGCCATGAATCTTTCAGGCTCAATTTTTAAAAAAATATATTTTTCCAGGTATATGAAATGAGTAATAGTTGAGATTCAGATATTAGACATACAAGAGAACTTTAAAAAGTTGAGAAAATTTCATTATCTTTTAGTTCCATTTTCCCCCACAAACTTTTGGAAGCCCACTTATACTTATCTAAGGTAAACATCATCTACAACCTGGATACAGGTACAGCTTTATTGATAAAATCGCCCTTTTTCTTAGATCCACTTCTTCTGATCTGGGATTCCACTGTCAGAAGTATTCCTCAGAGGAGGAAAGAGGCAGCCTGCCACTCAGAGCCTGGCAGGAGAGAGTAGGAAACCAGGGATTGACTATTTCCTACCAGATACCTTGCTAGGCACTTTCACATGTGTTACCTCATCCAGCCCTCCAATCCTAGTAGGGAGGAAATTGGTAGTTCCTTCTTAAAAATCAAGAAACAGATTCAGATTAATTGACCCAAATTCTGATAGAAAGGGACAGTGAGTTTTGTGTTTAAGCGCAACCCTTTAGTGTGTAAAGATAGTTTTGCCCATTTCCAATTGGCCCACATTTCTGAAACTACTATTATGAAATCAATAGACATTTTGATAACTCTCTCCCACCTCATAGACTTACTTAATGTGTTCACTTCGATTGACGCCCCCTCTCCAGCTTTGCCTGTCATGGGTGTTGAGTGCTCTGTAACATAATTCTTTTCTGCCTTGAGGGACACTGAATTTGCCCTGACATTGCAGAAACCGTAAGACAATGGTTCAAATCCTAGGATTTATAAAGATTGAAAAGCTAAATTCTCAACCATGAGCCATAGTAAAATGGTAGGCAATTTTCATTGGTGTTGGCCAAATAGTACATTCTTAAAATGTACCAAGTATTGCACACTTACACACAACTGTAAATACATTTTTTTAAATTTTCATGCTAGGCTTTGCAAATGAGCATCTGGTTCTACTTGTATTGAAAGTCATCGCTCTAGTTTGAACACATGGAATTATTAAGCTCAGTATCTATATATGCGCCTAAAAAGACATTTACATGGAAACGTAGAAAGTTTGGTTATAACAAATGGGAGGTGACATTGAGGTAATTACCTAAATTATGAGAAACGTTCAAAGACAAAATGCCCCTCTTGGAGTGCAATGGTGTGTTTCTCAGGTAGTTGGATAGCTGCAGTGATAGCATGGGGAGCTTTGTCTTTTTGTCTCTACTGTATGCAAGTATCAGGTGTGTGCTCTGGGATACAGTAAGATATCATCTTTGCAAGGGCCTGCCCACCAATTACGATAGAAAATGTTCTAGCAACTAAAAAGAAATAAATAACTTACCTGAAAATGTAACACACACACACACACACATGAAAGAAAATGTATCAACAACTCATTTATTTCTTACCTTCAGGCCTTCCTGTTGGCTTAGGGAAATGACCATCCTGAGACTGTTTCATGGGGCACAAGGCAGCCCACTGCCTCTAATGACAAGTGTTGAATGTGCCGTCACAGCTTCAAAGTGTGCCATCCCCAGTTTGGGTCATCTGCCCAATGGGGAATGCTAAAATACGGGTGGGGAGGCGGGGGGTGACTTTCTGAGTAAAACATACTACAAACTCTTCACCCTAGAAGAGACACTCAACCGCCATGTCTGTTTTAAAGTGGGTGCAGAAAGGGTTAAATGGAATGCTTTCTGTTGATTCGGGTTGCTTTTATTTTTTCTTCCTAACATTGAGCTCCAGAAGGACACGTGCATGAAGAAGGGAAAGTGACCTATATTTCAAACTGCTGTTTCCCTCACTTCGTCAGGAAATGGACCCATTTTAAATATATATATATTTGTGTATATATATACACATATATGTTTTACATTATTGTGCTGGCCAATAGATGATTCCTCTTCTTCCGCTTGTTAAGGTGCCTTTTGGGTGATGGTGTTCCTTTTTCAGTCTTGAAACATCTTTGGCCCTTAATCATCATCCTTTGAAAGAGGACTATCCGTGAGAAAATGGCTATGGAACCTAGCGTTGGTTTCTGCTGGAAAGGTTTCAAAGTTTGGCTGAAGTTTCCTGGCATGAAACTATTCCCGTTACAGAGCAGCACTCTCTGATAGTGAGGAATCCGTCCACACGGGAGCGTTTTCTAAGCAGAGCAGAGAAAGTTGTTCTTTGTAGAAAATACACTTTGGCCCAGAAACCGAAAATAGTAGAATTGACAGCAGCATGAAAATTTCCAGTCAAGCATGTTATGGGGAAAGAAGTGGCTTGTATTAGATAGAGGTGACTATGATACTTGGTGAAAAAGTCTGTATTGTCATTAAAATTGTGATCTGAAGTAGCTAGGGAAGACAGGAAGGAAGTGACCTACAACTGGAACAGGAAGATCACCCACACACTGCCATTGAGTCCGGTCCAACTGACAGTGTCTCAGGAAGACAAAAGGGGATAATAGGTTGAAGGAAGGACTAGACTTTTTTTTTAAGATTTCAAAGGAATAGGAATTGTCACATTTTACCTTTTCCCTGTTCAGTTTCTGAGATATTTATTTGAGAAGGGGGGGTTAAGGAAAAATGACTAGGGAGAGTAACCATTCATAGAAATGCTTTTTCCTCTTCAGAAGGCCAAATAAATGTAAGCTGAAAACTCTGGAAGGGAGGACAGATTATTGCAAAAGAGATAATCTGCAATAATCTCTCAGCTCGTATTAAAAATAAAAAGGAAATCGACTTCAGACTATATTGAAAGGATATTCAAAGTTCCTATGACTGTCAGAGTCCCTGAGTGGCACGAACAGGTAAATGCTCATCTACTAGCCGAAAGGTGCCTCAGAAGACAGGGGTGGCAATCTGCTTCTGACCGGTCACAGCCTTGAGAACCCTATGAAACGGTTCTTCGCTGCATATATGTCACACGAGTCGGAACTGACTCAATGGCAACTAACAAAAACGTGACTATTAGCGACATGACCCTTTCTTTAAAAGAAAAGCTGTGCTTCTCAACCTGGGACAGTTGTATCCCACCCCCACCCCCCACCCCCAGGGGACATTTGGCAAGTGCTGGAGACTTTTTTCATTTCTTGACTTGGGAGTTGCTACTGGCACCTAGTGGATAGAGAACAGAGATGCGGCTACACATCCATGCCCAGGACACAACAAAGGATTGTCAAGCCCAATGTCCGCGGTGCCAAGGTGGAGGAATTCTTGTTTAGTGATAATAGCATAGATCTAGAATCAGACAGAATTGGATCTTATTAGCTGTGTGACCTTCAGCGTATGTGTTGTGGCACAGCAAAAATACATAGGTTGATTGTGCCTAAATTAATTTCAAGTCTCAATCCCACCCTCCGTCAAAATGGGTGGAAACACCTCCTTCATGAATGACTGAAATGAATGCGGAAAGAGGTGGTTTTGAGGTTAGGGAAAAGTTCATCCAGAACGCCCAGCGTAGTGCCTCGTATGGCAGCAGACAATTTGATGGTGACGATAGGAAAGAAAACATGCTAGAGGTTATGACCCGGTAGTCAGATGAGTCTTTCTACTCCCATAAACAGTTACAGTCTCAGAAACCCACAGGGGTAGTTCCACCCTGCCCTAGAGGGTCCCTTAAGTCAGAATCGACTCAAAGCCAGTGAGATTGGTTATAAGGAATTTCACGTATCTTGTAGGCTCCATTACTCGGCCCGAAAGTTTGTGTCCCAGGAGTCTGGTCACCTGAATGCTGTTCCCAATCCAATTCAGGTTACACGGCAGATCCATGAGCATGAGCAGGAGAACGAGTTGCGGGAACAGATGTCAGGTTATAAGCGGATGCGGCGCCAGCACCAGAAGCAGCTGATCGCCCTGGAGAACAAGCTGAAGGCTGAGATGGACGAGCACCGCCTCAAGCTACAGAAGGAGGTGGAGACGCATGCCAACAACTCGTCCATCGAGCTGGAGAAGCTGGCCAAGAAGCAAGTGGCTATCATAGAAAAAGAGGTCAGTACGTCCAGTCGTGCCTTTATGCCACAACCAAGCCACGCCTGGTCCACTCAGCGCCCGAAGGTTCCCCAGAGGCAAGAGGGGAGTGCCTTCCGGTAGTAGAGGCGCATTATTGGTTTGGGGGCAGGGTGAGCATTCCAGGTTTTATGGGGGTTCTTAAAATGGACATTAATAACTAAACTAGTAGTTAAAGATGAAAGTTATATTTTTGTCCATTTTGAAATATCCTGAGCAGCAGATATTTGGTGGGGGTCTGGGTACCCAAAAAACAATGAAACCGCTCTACCAACACCAGTCTCTTACTGGTTATGGTCCCTGCCTTCAGCTGATTGGACTAAGGGTGAGCACCTGACCATTGTGGGTTTCTAGGAAGAAGCTTTTTGCCCCACACAGGTTCTAAACTAATTTTTAGTATAGAACAAAGACTAAGGGAGTTAACGACACCACCAAACCCCCTGTCATCATGTTAATTCCAATTTATAGTGAGCCTATAAGACAGGCTAGAGCTGCCCCCCTTGGGGTTTCAGAGGCTTATAAATGTCTACAGGAGCATACAGTTTCATCTTTCTCCCACAGAGCAACTGGTGGGTTTGAACTGCTGACCTTTTGGTTAGCAGCCCCCTACATCACCTACTTCACCACTAGACCCCAGTTTTTTGGATGGAGGAGGTTCAATGTCTAGGGACCTTGGGATCCAAAGGACACTCACCATTCCTGGCTCTTATTCCTTGATGGTAGTGACATCCCCCAAGGGAGGCAGAGAGTCAACACGTCACTTTTACTACGGATCAGTGATAGATAGGAGAAATAATTTGTGTCTGCAGGAAAACAGGCTTAGTAATAATGAACAAAATCAGAACAGACTTAGCTACCCAGACACTGGCAGTGCTAGAACCAAGTCTCCTCCTCGCCACTCCTCATAAGGCTTACACCGTGGAAAATTAGAGGTGCACATGTGTGCCCCTGAATGAAGCAGCTGGGCACAAGGTGCCAGGGGTGTTTCAGTCATTAAGCTCTGCCTCACCATGTGGAAGGAAACATCAGAATGGTGGAAGAACCGTTCACCCAACAGCCATTGATCTATATGCCAGTCTGGCATGAAAACCTGTGCCCAAACCAGGAAGGTATTAATTAGATAAACCAGCCAGATTCCTTCTTGGGAATTTGACTTGGTAACTGGGCAAAGAGAATTATTCAGTTGATTGTGGACGCTGAAGCTGAAAAGATACAGGTAAGGAAGCATGAAACAATTTCCTTTGTGCCTCTTGTACTACATATGTGTTTCATCTAAAGGCTCCCTGAAATATAGATCTGTCCACTTACAGGAGCCAATATTTATTGTATTACCTTTTATTTGGTCTGTGTTTTTATCTGTTCAGAAATCTCAAAAATATAGTGTGAGTTACAGCAGGTGCCTATGAAAACAAAATATCATTATTTTTGCCTGTTGTACTAGAGATTCACTAAGACATCTGATGGGTAGAGTAATGAACCAGAGTTTGATTCCGTGAATAAAACTAGCTTGCCATCATTATTGACCCGTTCTGATAATTCAGTCCTTGGGCTACCAATAATATGATAAAAATCCATTAGTTCTCATTTCATCCACATTTTGTTCAATGAGGCTTGTTTATGGTTCACCTTTCTATTTTTCACGTAATTGGGAATATATTTCTCAGTGGTGAAAAAGTTTACTATTTTTTGTGTGAGGAACAGGAGAATCAGGACAGACATTTGGTTTTTTATTAATATACATTCAACTATTACAAGATTTAACGCTTATGGGCTCTGTCTTCATGCACTGGGGAATGTAGACGGTCAAATTCTTATGATGAACAAATTCATCCTAGGTTGTCTTTGTTGTTTTATCAGGCAAAGGTAGCTGCAGCAGATGAAAAGAAGTTCCAGCAGCAGATCTTGGCCCAGCAGAAGAAAGACTTGACAACTTTCTTAGAAAGTCAGAAGAAGCAGTATAAGATTTGTAAGGAAAAGATAAAAGAGGTAAGGGTACTGGGATCGTAGTCACCCATTGCCATTTTAGAATGGAACTTAAACTGGACTCATCTTGGATTGCATCTAATCCAGTGGCCTCCAAATGTTATATTAGAATTCCTTACTAAGTGCTTACTAAAACATATTGAAAAGCCCCACCCCTTGATTTTCAGACCCAGTGAATCTGGGCTAGGGTTAGAAACCGTACTTTTCTAGCCAGTTCTCAGCAGCTGCTGCCGCATCTAGGGACTACTCATCAAGAGCTGTTGGTCTGACAATAATCTATTCTTGTATGCTTTATTTTCCTTGCTTCAGCCAAAATGATGTTTTCAACATATAAATCTAGTCATATTACCCCTTGCTTACAATCATTCGCCAGCTTCCCATTGTTCCTAGAATAGGTTATGATAAGTCCCTGCACAGTGTGCCACCCGCTGAACCTGCCTATCTCATCTCAAGGCCCCTTTCTCTTGGCTGCTGCCGTCACAATGGTCCCCTTTCAGTTCCTCATATGTATCAGGCTCTGCCCTTTTTCAAGGCCTTTGCTCTCCTCCACCCAGCCCCTCCCTAACCACAACTGGGCTTAGTTAATTCCTACTCCTGTCCCTTGTTAGACTTCAGACTCTTTCTGAGGACCTCCACTCACATTTCACATCACTAAGGAAGCTTTTCCTGAATCCTTTGACCTAGGCTGATGCCTCTGGCTTCTTAATCCTAGAGTTTTTAATGATATGTTTTATTCATAATTATTTGAACTACTTCATGACCCTACTAGCTAGTAAGCACTTCAGAGGCCATATCTGATTTTGTTTACCACTGTATCCTTGTGTTCATGATACACATGACTATATGATAAATAAACGCTTGATTCTTGAATGTTGGACTTAGAGAGTCCTTCTGAAGGGCTGCAATTTGATCTGAAAGTTCACATTTCTGTAGTTCTCCTTTTACCAATTCTTACTGTTGCGTTGGTGCAGAGCCATAAACTCTGATGTCAGATGCTATCGAGTCAGTTCCAACTCACAGTGACCCCTGTGTCCAGCAGAACGAAACCACCCAGCCCTGCACCATCCTCACAATTGTTATGTTTGAGCCCATTGTTGCAGCCACGGTGTCAATCCGTCTTAGCTAGTCAGTCCCTAAGACTTAGAATTTATTTGTAGACTTCTAAGTGTATTCATAACTTCATAAACTTCAGTGTAGCAAAGTGCTGTAGTATATGATATTATGTCCTTAGGCTCCAATTACTGTTTTATAGGTTAATGATAGGGACTTTAACCCCTCTCCAATTTTTTTTCCAATTATAAAGTGAAAACAAATGGGTGGGGGTGAGCATCAGGAGAGGTTGCTTTGCCCAGGTGAGCCACATTTTTAAAAAAAATGATTGCCACTGGGAATTGTTGGACCTGACAGGAAATTGTATTGGTCCCCTCTGGCTGAATGGGAAGAATTTCTGACACTCTGGTGTCTAAAAAGCCAGACTGTGGTGAGAAACAGCCCAATTAAGAAGGTTCACACCCTCTCCATTTTCTCTTAGTTATTGGCTCGAATCTAATTATTACGTAATAGGAGAAGGATGTTGCTGAATTGGAGGGATAGCTTTGATTTTTTTTTCCCCCTATGAGAAATGTTGGGATTTTCCCAGCTGTAAATACCTTTCGATTTATAACTCCCTGTATTCACTGAGGTTCTAAAAGCCATGTTTTATGACTCTGGCCACCATTGTGAGCATTCATGTAACACTAAGCTAAGTCGAGGTGCCTTTAGAAGATTTTCCCACCAAACAGCATTTGAGAGTCCTCACTCAGGCGTAAGGTTATTTAGGGTTCACCCTTTTCAAATTTACAAACCTAGAGACCACAGACCTAACTTTGTAATACCTAACTTTGTAAGTCATTCAACATGTTCTGTTAAAAATGGCCTAATGCCAATTTGAGATAGCCTCAATAAACCTTTCTGGCCAGAGTTAATATCACTCCTTATAATGCTTAGTTCAGACCATTTAAAGTGACATAATATATTTAAATGTTCATATACCTCGGGGGTTTAAGTGGAGAGACAATGTTTTGAGAATGATGTACAAATGTGCTTTACACAATTGATGTGTGTATGGATTGCGATAACAATTGTATGAGCCCCTAATAAAATGTTTTAAAAAAAATGTTCATATACTTAAAGATAGTGTTCTCAAAATGACAAAACAACCACTTTATTCCTCCTCCTGCTCCTTGTAAGATTGTGGGTTATACAGAATGATAACTGGTCCAGAAATAATTTATTCTTAATTTTGGAGTAAATTTTTATTATCTTTATTGAATATGTGTATGCAAGCTAGTAGTTGATACCAAACCTACTAGTAAAGTAACAGCATGAGGAGATGAGTCACCCAGCCTACCTGCTGTGACTCCAGCTTCCTCCCACGATGATGCTAAGATTTCACTTATGGAATAGGAAAGTTGATTTATAAAGACTTCTCGGCTGAGTGCCAAAAAATGATGAATAGTACATGATATCTGCATCACAAAACATTAAATAGACATGAACAATTAAGGGATATTTCAAGTGAAGGAGCAGTTAACCAAATATAGGTCAAGCATGTCAGTCCGCACAAAGAGGAATAAAAGGGGTCTTCTTACTTTACTTTAGCATTGTCTTGACTTTTCTGGTTCACTGCCTATGTAACCTGGGGTAATTATACGTTTGGTTATTTAGAAACTATAGGTGACTTGTTTACCCTTCTGATCACAAACAAGGAATATTTTCATGGAATGCAAGCAAGTGACACTTATTCAGTTGCCTCCTATCTCTGGAATGTTGTCGCCACCTGCTTTGTCCAAGCTGCTATCTTCTCTCTTGCCGGGACCATTGCATTACCCTCCCAGGGTTCTTCCCGAATCTACTTTTGCTGCTTCACTTTGCTCTCCAAGCAGTAGCCCGGGCCGTCTTTCTGAAATACACCCCAGTATAAGCCCATATAGATAAGCATATTTCTCCTTAACCTATAAGGGAAGACCTAGATAGGTCCCAACTGCCTATACAATCTCGTCACACATCACATTGCACCAACCCCCCTGGCCTCCTTTCAGGTTCTTCTTCATACCTTGTTTCTTTCCCAGCCTCAAATGCCAGCTTTGTTGTTCCCTGGGTCAAGCATTCTTTTAGGACCAAATGCTTCCCTTCCGCAGTGGTTATCACCGCAGTGTGCAGTCAATTCCTAAGATCTCCGATAAAGTTTTTGACTTTGAACTTTAAGCCCCAGTGCAGCAGACATCAGGATCTTTTGCTCATCATTGTATCTGGGCACCTTACGCAGTGCCTGAGCTTAATGAGTGTGTTGATTAAATGTGTGAAACCCTAACTTCTGTAAACCCGAAGCCAGAGACGACGAAGCCACCTAGTCTTCCTCTTCACTCACCACTCAACTAACTGATTAAAAATGGCATTGGGTGTGCAACATCTAGTTTTTCTACCCTTATATTTAATTTACTTTCCAGATAATTTTATGTTATAGTTCCTTTAGCTTAATGGAACTGACCTTTTTTTCATTCACTCTTTTTAAAAAAAAAAAAAAATCCCTATAAAGGAAATGAATGAAGACCATAGCACACCCAAGAAAGAAAAGCAAGAGCGGATATCCAAGCATAAAGAGAACTTGCAGCACACACAGGCTGAAGAGGAAGCCCACCTTCTCACTCAACAGAGACTGTACTACGACAAAAACTGTCGTTGCTTCAAGCGGAAAATAATGATCAAGCGGCACGAGGTGGAGCAGCAGAACATTCGGGAGGTAATAATTATGTTCACAACTGTAGCCATTGATTTACAAGACAGCGAGCTTTCCGAGGGTCAGGACCATGTCTATTTTGTCCAAGTCTTTCGTCCTTAGCTGTTAGCATAGAGCCTGACACAGAGTACGTAGACCGAAAAAGTCAGTGAATGAATTTAACATGGGGGGGGAGAGGGGGAAGAAAGCCCAAGGAGACCTGGTGGCATAGTGACTTACTTATTGAGCTGCTAACCACAAGGTCAGTGGTTCAAACCCACCAGCCACTCCTCTAGAGAAAGATGAGGCTGTCAACTCTGTCAAGATTTAAGGTCTCAATAACTCAAAATCGCAATTCCGCACTGCCCTACGGTGTCGCTCTAAGTCAGAGTCCACTTTGGCAGTGGATTTAGGACAAAGCCCAGCTGCAGAATAATAAATCGCCTTTTCTCCCAAATGACTGCAGTAGAATTGTACTGAACACCTATTATATTTACCTATTATAAGGTAAATCATGCAACAGGTTAAAAAGAGAATTTTTTGCTCTCAACCGATGTGGCAAGGATGTGTGTTTCTGTGACTCCCCTTGCAGCACCTAAGTAACTGTGTGATGCTCTGCAAGTTAAGTCCGTTCCTTCAGCCATCCAGCACTTCTGAGTGCCACTGACGTGCCAGGCACTGTACTAAGCAGCAGGACTGCTGAGAAACTTCGTTCTCTGCCTTCAAGTGTCCTTAAATCTAATAGAAGGAAAGAAATGTAACCAGTCCACTTCCATACACTATTGAGGTTACTATCGCCGACACACTAAGTAGTGTGATCATGTAGCCAGGAAGGGTAGGGCGTGTGCAGTGATTGATAAGAAGCTGAGCGGGACCAGAGTTCTGGGGGTGTGGAGTGGAGTGCCCACACACGAGCACAGTTGGGAGCAGAATATGGAGGGTTTGGTGTTAGGGATCAATATTTAACCTGAAAGCACTACAAAGCCATCAGAGGTATTTAAGGAGGAGAGTGGCGTGATGAGGTTGGTTTTTTCTTGTTTGTTTATTTTAATTGAAAAGTTAGCACATGAATATGAGGGGCAGGCTGGGGTAATAAGAAGTCCAGTACTGTGAGATCAGTGCGGTGCCTTTCCTCCCTCCAGGCTGGAAAGTGGGGACAGAGAAGGGAGATGAGCTGACTTTCCAAAGCAGAACTGACAGCACTATTGGACACATTGCATGTGGGGATTTTAGAAGAGGGCGGAGTCAAATCTGACTGCAGTGGTCCTCCTTTGGGAGAGTAATGGATGTGATAGCAGTCACAGAATGTGATGTAGCTGCAGATACTAAGTTCAAGAGGAAGACTGGGTGGCTTGGCAAAATCAGAGGAAAGACCATCAATTCAGTAGCTCATTGACAAAGACAGTGATGGTGGCTGGCATGAGGGGAAAGCAAGCAGTTCATACATAGTCACTGGTATACAGTCAGACCTGTGAAGGTCAGCAAGCCTCCTGGATAAAGCAGAAACCTGTCAAAAAAGTCCACTGTTAGGAAAGTAGTTAAGACTGTCAAAGGTGGAAAACTGGCAAGACATGGAAAAGCAAGGCAGTCCAGTTGAGTTTAGGCTCTCATCAGATGTACTGCTTATTATTATTGGATGTACTTATTTTGGAGTGCAATATTCAAATAAGGAGACCAGGTGGCACAATGGGTTAAGTATTGGGCTATTGACCACAAGGTCAGCAGTTCAAATCCACTAGACTAGCTCCTCGGCTGGAAGAAGGTGAGTCTCTTTGCTCCCCTAAAGATGTACTGTCTTGCCATTTTCTTCTGTCCTCTAGGGTCACTCTGGGACAAAATGGACTCAGGGGGTGGGGTGGTATTCAAATAGGAAGAGTGGAGCAAATCAGAACTGAGTGAGCACGTTGCTATGGGCCAGGCTTGTGCTAGATCCACATGAATATCTTACTGGAAGGAGAAGAAACCACCAAGCATTTTGAGCCAGGCTCAAATTTTACTTTAGAGGGGTTAGACTAATTTTATGGTGGCACACAGGCTGGATTAGAGCATGTATTCTCCATTGAGCAGTATTGCCCACCCCCCATGGGGAGAAAAATTGTTGGAAGAAATGGAGAATCCTAGACATTACAATGGTTTGTAGCCCCCTCTGGAAAACTTCGATCCATCAGCAAACATGCACTCTTTTTGTGGTGTTCCACTTTCACGGGGTGGGGTGGGGGCAGCAAAGGCTCCTTAATGGACAGTAATGGGGAAAGGTGGAGAAACACTGGATTAGAGGGAAGGGGCTAGGAAATGGGGCAAGGACTAGGATGGTGGTGGTAGCTGTCAAAAGAGAAGTAGATTAGGAGCATATTTTAAAGCATAAATTAAATAGGAAGTGGCATACAATAGGATATGCAGAGAAATATAAAGGTAGAAGAGGATGTACAATGGTGCAGATAGGAACTGGAAGCACAGGGAATCCAGGACAGATGAACCTCTCAGGACCAGTGGTGAGAGTGGCGATACCGGGAGAGTAGACGGAAGGTGGGGTAGAAAGGGGGTACCAATTACAAGGATCTACATATAACCTCCTCCCTGGAGGATGGACAACAGGAAAGTGGGTGAAGGGAGACGTCAGACAGTGTAAGATATGACAAAAGAATAATAACTTATAAATTATCAAAGGTTCATGAGGGAGGGGGACCGGAGAGGGAGGGGGAAAATGAGGAGCTGATTCCAAGGGCTCAAGCAGAGAGCAAATGTTTTGAGAATGATGGGGGCAACAAATGTACAAATGTGCTTGACACAATGGATGGATGGATGGATTGTGATAAGAGTTTACAAGCCCCCAATAAAATGATTTAAAAATAGAAAGGTAGAGTCAAAATTGTCTCTAGCGTTTGAAACATAGTGGATTGTGGATTTGGGTAGCTTAGAGAGATGCTTCAGTAAGAAACTGAGTCTAGTAGCAGGCATGTTGAGTTTTTCACGAGGGGAAAAAAAAAGAAATCGAAATGAAAAAATAGCCCATTAGAAATAAGGGCTTGGCAATTATTAACATTAAAAGTATTAGGCAATTCTATTACTATTCTAATGACACATTTGAAGAAAGACTCAGATTAAGCAGACAATTAGTGTCAATAAAAACTAGAGAAAGTAGTTGTTCCCAAATATGATGGAAACATTTGTGACTTTTTTTAGTATCAGATTCTAACCAACTGAGCTCAAAATAAGTGATTATACTGTGTTTTTTCTTAAGAGTCCAAATGTGTCTTTGTTTTGACTTATTCCAGAGCCAGATATAGAAGTGTGTGTGTAAATGTTGAATAGTCAGTGTTTCTGATAACCCTCTCATACCCAGTGTCTGCCGAGAAGGTCATCATTCATTTGGTATATATGTCCATATTTATGAGGGTCGGTCTAAAAGTGTTGCTACTACACCACCAGTTCATACATGCCTGGGTCCATTGCAGCCAAAGTGTGTTTAAACATGTCTCAGTGATCAGTGGGGAGCTGCAGCCAAGTGTTCTCAGGAATACATTTTTCTTCGTTTCAGGGGAGTGACTTCAAAGGTCATCAAGGCAGCAGTGTTGTTGTTTTTTTAATCATTTTATTAGGGGCTCATACAACGCTTATCACAATTCATACATACATCAATTGTGTAAAGTGCATTTGTACATTCATTGCCCTCATCATTCTCAAAACATTTTCTCTCCACTTAAGCC